GAACCTGCGATAGTAGCCAGCTAGACCTAGAAATTGACGAATTTATGTAGGTGTCTTCGGTGCTGACCAGTTCTCAATGGCCTTGATTTTGGAAGGGTCCACGTGTATTCCGTCTTCGCTAACAACATGGCCCAAAAATTCGACTCGTCGGATCCAAAATTCGCACTTGGAGAACTTCACAAAGAGCTTCTCCGCTCGCAATGTTTCTAAGAATCTACGGAGATGTTGACTATGCTCCTCCTTACTTTGAGAGTAGATGAGTATGTCATCGATGAAGACAATGACGAACTGATCCAAGTAAGGACGACACACCCTATTCATCAGATCCATGAATACGGCGGGCGCATTTGTTAATCCGAACGGCATAACTACAAACTCGTATTGTCCATAACGAGTTCGAAAGGCTGTCTTGGGAACATCCTCCTCTAACACTCGTAGTTGGTGATATCCGGATCGTAGATCTATCTTCGAGAAGTAGTTGGCTCCTTGAAGTTGATCAAATAAATCATTAATGCGGGGCAAAGGATAACGATTTTTAATGGTAAGTTTGTTGAGTTCTTTGTAGTCGATGCACATGGGAAACAATCCATCTTTCTTCTTGACGAACAAGACCGGTGCTCCCCATGGTGAGAAGCTTGGCCTAATGAATCCCTTCTTGAGAAGTTCGTTAAGTTGACTGGAAAGTTCCTGCATCTCAGCCGGTGCCAGACGATAAGGAGATTTGGCTACTGGGGTAGCTCCTGGCACTAAGTCGATTCTGAACTCGACTTGGCGTTGCAGTGGTAAACCAGGAAGTTCTTTTGGGAAGATGTCGGGAAAGTCGCGTACTTCGGGGATTTTCTGAATGTCTTTCATTTCTTCACTCGTATCGACGATGTGTGCGAGGAATGCATGATATTCCTTTCGCAAGCACTTCTGGGCTTGAATGCACGAAATGATACGAAGGCTCGTACTAGGTTTGTCGTCGTAGATAACTAATGTTTCTTTGTTAGGAAGGTTAAGACGAACTGCTTTTTCAAAGAACATGATGTCGGCGCGAAGAAGACTCAACCAATCCATACCAATGATAACGTCGAAACATTTAATTTGGACTGGCATGAGATCTATCTTGAAAGTATGGCCATCTAAAGTTAAAGTACAACCTACATATATGCAGTTACTACTCTCCGTTTTCCCGTTAGCCATTTCTACCGTGAATGAATTATCTAATGCACAGGGTTTTTGTTTAAGCAGGCGTGCAAATTTGTGGCTTACGAAACTTTTCTCTACTCCACTGTCGAAAAGTATGCAAGCATATGAGTTATCGAGGAGAAACGTAGCAGTAACTATCGTAGGATCAGCTACCGCTTCCTCATGACCTATGGCGATAACTCTTCCTTCTCCTCCAGCCATCCCCGTTTTAGGGCAGTTCCTATTGTAGTGGCCCACTTCGCCACAACCGTAGCAATCTTGGCCCATACCGACGTTAGGAACCTGGGCGGCCTGAGCTGTTGGAGTCCTGCAAACACGGGCTGTATGCCCCTTTCTGTTGTAGTTAGAGCACTGCATCTCCTTGCAAGGTCCGTGGTGGTGGAAGTTGCACTTGGTGCACTTCGGAAGGGTTCCAGCATATGTTTTTGCTGGTAAGGGGTTCGCAGGGACAACAGGAGTTACTGTGGTAGCATTGATTGCCACAAGTTGTTGTCTTTTGGAGGATTCCTGTGAAGCCCCTCTTTTCCTCTTGTTCCACCCCTTCTTGTGATTGTCGGGGTTGGACTTTTGTGGTACGGATGCAGGGATTGTTGGGTTCCTGTGTTTCCCGTGGTCTATGAGAGATTGTGCCAGCTCCTTGGCACTATCAAAAGTGATAGGCTTGGAGGCTAACACGCTTAACTGGATCTGGGGCGATAGTCCCCAGATGTATCTCTCTATTTTCTTGCTCTCCAGAGCAACCATGTCAGGGCATAGTATTGCCAGATCACAGAACCTATTTGTGTAGGTTGAGATGTCGGATCCAACCATTTGCAGGCTCCAGAGTTCCTGTTCGAGTTTTTGTATTTCTCCCCGAGGACAGTACTCTCTCATCAGCATGTCCTTCAAGTGTTCCCAGCTGATGGAATATGCCACCACCAGAGTCAGGTAATTAACATGGCCGTTCCACCATGTTGGTGCCCTGTCAGAGAAGGTACAAGTTGCGAACTTGACCTTGTTGCTTTCTTGGCAAGCACAGATTTCAAAGACAGATTCCATCTTTTCAATCCACTGCCTTAACACCATAACCCCACTCGTACCATTGAAGGTACGGGGTTTGGCGTTTGTGAAGTCTTTATAGGTGCATTCCCGAGGGTGTCCATGGCTTTCGCCGTGGTTCGAGGGAGGTGCACCTGTTCCCGATCCACTAGGGACAGGAGTGTTGATTGTTGACACAGAAGTTGCAACTGCTGCTGTGAAAGCTGCCTGGAACATGTTGGCATCGAAGGGGTTAGGTGGTTGAGGAGGTTGAGGTTGTGGTGGTGGTGGAGGTGGTGGTATCGGTGCTTCGTTGTTTGGGTTACACCTGGGATTTCTTCGTGGTGGCATCTTTAACTATATGTTTAAAAGATGACGACATGGATAAGAATAAATGAATAATGATTGTGTCTCATGGACTAACTCCCCATAGCCTAACAACAAATGAATAGAATGACTAAATGAAGATGACAACATTTGGATAATAATTTCCATATGATTAGATATCTGTCAATAATATTGGAATTACAGATGTAACAAGTTCAGGAAAAATGGCCTAGAAGCAGGCCTTACATCAACCAAGATGGAAAATTTTGACAGAATTAAGATTAGATCAAGACCTAATAGGTCTAAGATTTATAAAGACAGGAAATTAGACCAAAGTTTTACATAAACTAGGTTATATCCAAAAGATGAGTCGTCGAGATTCTATCGGCGACGAGAACTGCTAGCATGAGTTCTTGATCCTGATAGTAGAAGTACCATGTCCCTCATACGCCTAGCAGCTCTCGCTTGCTGAGCTCGAAGTTCCCTAACTTCAGCTCGCGTTTCAGCAAGTTCCCTCTGTAGAGCTATATTGCGGACTAGAGTTCTTTCGTGTGTAGACTCTAGTTGGCGAATGCGGACAGTGTTAACACCAGAGTTGGCGTCAACTTCCAAGACTTGATTGATAGTCGCCTGAGCCATTATCGTGTTTCGAGAAATCCTACGAACCATGATTGGTAGGACTCTGTCAGCAGAGCCTCCTTCAGTGAGGTTGTAGAAACTTCGGTCTCCATCGTAGGGAATGGGTTGACCCTGTTCATGACTCCATGTATTCAAGTTAGTGGCCCACAGAGGTGTGGGTCCTTGAAATGCAGGACGGGGGTTCAGGTTCGGGTTTTGAGCAGCTAGGGGTAGGTTATTGACTTCAGGCTCCGAGTCAGAACTATCAGAAAAACCCTCAACATGGTGATCATCCAAATGGATTTGGTGATCAAAATTCTGGTTCTGCCTCTAGCCAACCAACATTGCCTTGGTTCGGGAAGTACGGATTGCCATGGTGAAATCCAGCCATTTTAATCTACGCGAGAAAAGGGATATAAGAAATAGCTAAAATAGACGAACTAACTAAGATAATTATAGTAAGACCAAATACCCCTATGGTATTTCTTGATGGTTGTGTTGGTAAGTTTTTAGACTTGTTGCCACATCACAACGATTCTTGGGCATATGCTAATCACTCCTCGGACCAGCATAGTTGATCAGGCTATGCCATTCCCAAGACTGACCATATATCCCTAAGCTTACTTGTGATATTCAACAATCATAATACTTTTGTTCTTGTCATTGTGACACAGGTTTTAGTATGAATGCAGGCACGTATCCTTTGTTAAATATTTTATTATTTAAAAGTATAACTCTTAGAAAGAGTGTTTTAATCCATATGTATTTATAATTAGTATATCTTTTATGGGTTGATATACTACATTCACTATAAACAAAGCTCTGATACCAATCTCTCACACCCCAAAACCACGAACGGCGGAAACGTTCAGGGGTGGAGGACGTCATGTATAGTATCACAACAGTGTAAAATAGTAAACAAGCAACAACATCATCCATTGCACTATAAGTAAAGTTTTAATACATGTGTGTTCTTTCATTGTAATAAGACACCAAAAATATATAATCAAAATAAAAGACGAGACTTGTCTGCTCCGTCTTCTCAAAACCTGGCCACCGTACCTATCTACTGATGGCCTGAGAATACAAGTTATTTTGAAAGAGAGTACCAGCTTTAAAGCTGGTGAATTCATAAGTATTTAAGTGTCATTGTCTTGCTTTGATAAACTGTTATGAATGTCATGTAAAACCTTTAAGTAAGACAGTTGATATAAGTATGAAAAACCCTAAGAAATCCCTTATTTCCTACTAGTATGAAATGTAGTCTTCTACTAAGACCCGAATGTTTTGTAAGTAAAATGATAGTTTTTCCTTCTATAGACTAGTACTAAAGTACTTAGTCTAACTCATCGTTTATGTGAAAGTATCACAAAATAAAATAAACAGGAAAAAGTATAATCATGTAAGTATTATCCCTGGATTACCAAGACTAACACAACATCACCGAAACGAAAGGTATAACCTAATGAACATCCAAAGATTGTCAAATTAACCCCTGTAGCGAACAGTGGTTCCAGGACTGGTTAGTTTCGTAACTGACTCTACATCGCTGTAAGCGAAATAGATATCCTAATGAACATCCGAAGATTGTCCAATTAACCTCTGTAGCTAACAGTAGGTTCCAGGAATGGTTAATCCCGTAACTGACTCCTAATATAAGTAATAACAACCAAATGAACATCCGAAGATTGTCCAATTAACCTCTGTAGCGAACAGTGGTTCCATGAATGGTTAATCCCGTAACTGATTCCCGTTGAACTGGGATGGGCTAGATGATTTACTGAAGGTACTAATAAATCATCTTTACAAATCGAGTTTCAAGTATTCATGTAAGTATTCACAGGTAGATGTATCTACGTAAAGGTATTCATGTAATGTGTTCATGTAAGCGTATTCATGTATCATGTAAGAATATGTAAAGGTACTCATGTATTAGGTAATGTACTCGTAAAGACTCATGAATGAACTGACTCTTGTGTGATTTCTTATAATAGGAATAATGTTTGATATCTTCTAGCTATCCCTATGATTGTTGACTGAAAGGTAATTGGTTGTTCAAGAAGGTAAAGGTAGTGGTTTTGCAAGATATCTAAGAGTTTTGAACAATAATTAAGAGTGACTTAATCTCATTTTAATAAACACTTCAAAACTAATATTTTTGTTATCAAGGTATTTTAAGATAGAAAACCATTTCATGTGTCCCATTTTGTAGTATGAGAAATCTGTTGAATGAAAACACAGTTATAAAATACATATAAATGCTTTAATAACTTGCTATTTGCTACATGCATTCTTCCCCCCCCCCCCAATTAAAGCATTTAAAAATCATTTAAAACATTGATTAGGGATATGAACTCACCTTTAGATGGTGGTTTGGATGAGCTGGACGGTATAGGATTGTTAGGTGTCATGTGAGGACTTGTACACACACTACGATCCTAATGAACATATAATCACACATATATGCACTCAATTAGGCTTATTTACTAATTGATAATGTTAAGACATCCTAGAACATAATAAACACTTTATATAAGTGTTTTAAGCCCTAAGGATTGCATCTAAGCTATTGTGGGACAAGGTACTTGGGTTTAGGGTTCCAAAGGACCCCATATATGAGTTTACTCTCCATATATCATCACACATGGAGTTCACGGTTGTAAACTCTTGATTTTACGGTCGTGAACTCACAATCTTGGTGATATTTTGTGTTTTGAAGTCCCAAATGATCCCTAGAATTATTCCAACTTGGTGGTTAAATCCTTGGAAGGGTTTAAGGTATAGAAACACCCCTTTGAGGATTTTACTGCCCTAAGGCCATTTCCCTTAGATTTTGCGGCCGTAAACTCTTAAGAATGGGTGTTTTGATGCTTTCAAGTCTTATTCACATGTAGTATAGGTCTCAAACTTTTATTCCAAGCATATCAAGGCCTTTGGCACACTTTGGTGCCTTTGTTTGATGTTCACGGCCCAAGAACCTTATTAGGGCCATGAACTCATTTTGAGGGGTGTTCTTGATGTGTTTAAGGCCCTTGATTAAATGGGAACAAGTCTATGTAAATGCCTAAGGCTTTAGGTGCCTTAAAAGCACCCTTTTGTGCATGATTTTGGAGTTCACGGTCCAATATCATCTTGGGTCGTGAACTCCCAAACTTTGGTGATTATTTGATGTTTTATTGTCCCTAATACAATTATACATGAGTCCAAAGTCGTATCATAACATAAGGGAAGGTCTAGGCGTTGTTTCGGGAGTTTACCGCCCAAGAACACCTTGGGGAGTAAACTCCTAAATCTAGTGATGTAGCCATCTAAATCATGTTATAACCGCATAATAAAGTTTCTAACACTACTAGAAAGAGTTACTCACGTTTTGATATAAAAACCCGAAGATCCGTGAGAGAGAAAATGGCTTTTCTCTAGTTAGAAATGCGAATAATGAATGAATTTGGTTCAGAATTCTATTTATAGTCTTGATATTTTTGGCATAAAATATTTTATTCCCGAAATGATCTCTAATATAATAGAGTGTTGGAATAACAGTGTTGCACAAAAATCTAGTGTAAACCCTAAATTACTCAAACTTATACAGAAAAGTCTGAAACTTTACTGTGACAGATATAACTTCTATTGAAGTGTTATTGTTTATACATAATGGAAATTCCGAGTTGTCACAGTTTTCAGGTGCATATGTAGCGACGAAGAATGTGTAGATCTGAGATGGTGTAGATTTGGGACGGAGAAAGTTTTCAGGAAAAGCGACATTCACGAAGATGAAGGTGATGGTGATACAGATGACGATGGAGTACATCTGATGAAAAGGTTACCTTCTCCAGCAAGGTGGCAATCACGCCAATGTGACAATTCCAAAGAAGGTGTGGCGTTTGTGAAGATTAAAGCTTTTTATGGTGGTGGAGACAGAGATTCAGGTGGTTTTTTAGGGTTTTAGACAAAGATGTGAGATAGTAGTAAGTGATGGCGGCACACCAAAGATGGAGATTCCGATGGTGATTCACGTATACGACGGTGGTGGTGAATATTTCTGGTGATGGTATATATATATATATATATATATATATATATATATATATATATATATATATATATATATATATATATATAGAGAGAGAGAGAGAGAGAGAGAGAGAGAGAAAGAAGAGAGAAAGAAATATTAAATTAATAGTTTTTAAAAGGTGGGGTAGGTAGGGCCATATTTCTTTTTTATAAATAATAATAATAATAATAATAATAATAATAATAATAATAATAATAATAACATTAAATTAATTGGAAAATAAATAGATAGAGGGTATGATGATCATTTTAGATCTGTCAAGAACTACATTCCCAACAAAACACATATCAGAGACGAATAATGCAAGCTTTAAGCAAATGAGTGACACTCCGAGTTAATTTTTAAAAATAAAGAATAAACGTATATTTTGGCCAATGTACATAACGATTGATGTAATTTACCCATTTGTTTATTAATTTACTACATCCTCTCGTATTCTTCCAAATGATTCCTTCTTATTTCCTAGAATTTTTTTGTAAAAATTAATGTATTATCACTACTAGAAAATGAAAAATATACTACCATTATATTTGCATATATAATATGGATGAACCTTCTGTATTATATCATGTTAGAAATTTATGGGTAAAAGCATTTTGGAATTCTAAGAACTGTGTAAACAGTTTCAAAGAGAAGTATTTGGTTGATACTCCCAAATTCTCAGTAGGATAAGCCTCAGAACTTTTTTAGAATGTGAAAAGAGAATGAAAGGGTCAATTTTCGTTAGTACCAGATTTTTGAGCAAAATATGGTTAAGTATCTCTCTTGTGTGGAAACCATCATAAGATAGTTTTCAACTCGACTGCAGCTAAAGGCTATCGCCCCTTAGATCCTGCTCCTATGGGCATTGCCCCCATACCACTGTTCGTTTAGGGGCTAAGCCCCTAAATGTCAATTTACTTTAAATTTTAAATAAATTTAAACAAGTGTGCACTCTAAATCTTCGTTACTTGTTTAATATTCATCAAGATTGATTTTGGTTAAGAACTCAATCCATTATACTTAAATACATTAGTGAAACAATTCACCACCATATTAGGGGTGTATTAGAACAGAGTTTTGTACTCTAACCATTTATAATCTCATATTTTATATTAAAACTAACAATATTTTACCTCAACAGTACTCTATAACAATATATTAACATCAAACACCAAACTTATCACAATATGAAAAACAAAAATATATAGAATCACAAACAAATTTGGTATACTAAATAAAAAAAATGAGTACTTATTCTAGTAAAAGAGTACACTTCATTAATTCTTCAATGAGACCATTTTAGTATTCTCCCATTGTTGCACTTCTTTGAGTATGTAGGGAAAGCACACAAGCCTTAAATAATTAAATAACATTCTATAATATTTGTTCTCGTTTAAGCCAATAATTAAATACGGTTTTTCATTTCATATGACTATACTCTAAGTCTTTATTTATCCGTATTATATTTGTTCTCTTTTTCCTTTTCTAATTATACGGACGATGCTAACAACCGTATTCTATTTATATTTTTCTAGTACTGTATACAAGCTTTTCTTCTGTTATCTATTGATGTTTTTTCATGAAAATGGTAGAAGACGGTGTCGATCTAAATTAGAAATGTTTTTTTTATTCATACTTTATAGTATACAAGGAAAATATTTTACCAAACATATCAATGTCAAACTACATGAATTTAATTACCCTTTACGTGTAACTTTTAGAATCTACCAATCTATCATACCTTAGATTTCATTTACAAGACATGTATGAAATATAATTCATTTACCAAAATATAAAATTGATGGGTTTGTCGGGCCCAATGACGGGCGATTCGGACAAGAGGGGAGGCTAAAAATGAGCCATAAATCCTTTAAATAGGGTACAAACTCCTGAAAATTAGGATTTCTCTCTACAGAGCCTACTCGTAGAGTCGGGGCCTTCCGACTTGTCGAGTAGGGTTTAAATCCCGCGTCTCCTAATAGTCTTTACTCGACGAGTTGGAGCTCTCCAACATGCCTAGTGCATGCACAAAACCCTAAAAATTAATTAATTTAAATAATACCTGGAATAGGGGTTACAACTCAAAACAATGAAATTAGGGTTTTAACACTACATTGGTACGCCTAGCTTACCAAAAGTTACGCCAGCATAACACCCTAAAAACATGTCCCCTCAGCCTAGTAAGCCCGACATACTACCTAGTGTATGCTCAACATACTGCCAAACTTCATTTTCCAGGTTAATATCAAACAGTCATTACTTCTTTGTTTCAACTCCGTTTTCGGCACTCTTATATGCATGGAAAGGTATTGAAGAGCCCCACAATCCTGTCTAATTACTTTTGACTCAACACATGCCAAACTAAAACTCTTAATTCACAAAAGAAGTCTGAAACAATGTTTTTTTTTTTTTTTTTTTTTTTTTTTTTTTTTTTTTTTTTTCATTTTACCCTTTTACTCCAAAACACAAACTAAGATCTTGGATCACATAACCAATATTATCCACATCTAATAGGGTCTAAACCATATTCCTTGAAGCTCAAGGCCTTCACTTGATTCATTTATTGTCCTAAATCCAGAAATAAGAACTTCTCGAATCGAAACAGGATGTTACACATTTATATTGTGGTTTTGGATTAGGTGTCTGTTTAAACTTGTGTTGTAAAGTATACTTATATTTATTGTCTTTCTAAAATGAATTTGATTATTTTTATTATATTTTTTTGTATTTTGGATAGAAAAAATACGGATAATTTCGTGCTTTTATCGGTTTTTTTACTGCTAACATTTTGCCAGAAATCCCTAGGAAAATGTAACCAAAAGTGTCACACAAAGACTATTGTAGTAGAACGGTTCATCGGAATTGAAGGTCTTAAGAAAAGTGTTCCCTCGGAAAATTATTTACACAAAATTTCCTTGTAAATATATTTCATTGGAATTTCCTTGCGAACTTTCCAGCAAAAGCGTGTATTGGAAAAACATCATACTTCCTAATAACATAATTTCTCTTAAATTTCTCAACAAATATATCGTCAATCCATTAATATGATTTTCCTAAGAGGGGTTTATGAGGATATACCATCCTTTGGAAATTGCTAAGAAAAAACTATTTTCGAAGAAATTTCAGAAACCATGTATTTTTCTAGTAGTGTATCAAGCAAAATGATATCACAATTGATGAAATAAAATAAGGATTTACGATAGAACATAGCCGATATATAATAATAATAAAAAAAAAAGGAAAATAAGATATAAGGGTAATATAGCTCTCGTTTTGTACATGTTTGTACGCTTACTCCTTATTGTTTTTTCTAGTAAAATAAGCCTTTTAACTTATTGTTTTTGTGCACATTCAGTCCTTATAACCGACTACTCTAGGTTAAATTCATTGTTTGTACATATTTAATCCTTAATGTTTTTTTTTTTGGTAAAATAAATCATTATTGTTCTTGTATATATTCAATCCTTAAGATGAGTTTCTTCAAATTTTGCTCATGTGACATCTTACATGGGACAATAATTAATGAGGTGTTCCCATATATATCCCGTCTAAACACTGGGATCATGTGTTACTTGTCCCGGTTTTGATAATACCATTGTATTATTGATTTTAATAAATATGATAGTACAATACCAACTATATTTAATATCAATACAAATTTCATTCAATAGTAATACCAACTACATTATATCAAGTGAAGAAAATGCATTAGGCATAATGATTTCAATTGTTGAAAATAATGCTCACATTCATAACAGTTCGTTATACTGTTATTAATAATAGCAGAGTCATTTTGGGTTACAGATAAGGACAAAAGACCTCCTCTTTAACTGCTGCAACCCTCTTTAAAATTCAGGGTTAATTTAAAACGAATACAAAAAAACCCATTTGCAGAAAAATGATCAAAATCATCATACCAATTAATTAAGGAAGACTCTTAACTTTTTTTTTTCAGGGTGTTAATTTGTCTTGGATGTCCCAATTCAAGTTGGGAGAAAGCAATCATAAAGAACATCATTGTGTCTTGTTGAGATAGAGGAAGCTGAAGCTGAATACATTTTTTTCTTAAAGAAAAACTAGGGCACCATCGTTATTTGACCGATTCGTGAATTGAGTTACTGATATAAATGAATGAATAACCCTGTATAAGAACATCTCATTAACTATTATCCTACGTAGGAGTCAATGTGAACAAAACCTAAAGAAAATCGGTCATATGTACAAAAATAACAGTGACTTATTTTGTAATAAAAAAACATTAATAATTAAATGTGTTCCATCTGAGAATTGAGTAGCCGATGATAATATATAGTAACCGATCACAAAAATTAAATGTGTACAAAACAAGTTAAAAGGCTTATTTAAAAAAAAATTAATAATTAAATAATTAATTAACGTGTATAGAACAAAATTTATATTACCCTTAAGGTCATTTTCCCAAAAATAAATAAAAAAAAATTAATAATTAAATAATTAATTAACGTGTATAGAACAAAATTTATATTACCCTTAAGGTCATTTTCCCAAAAATAAATAAATAAATAAAATCTACAGCTATTTTTAAACATAATGCAATTTTTAAAATACCAAAGTTCGATGATCAATAAAAATATGAAACAACCGTTCGATCTTTCATATAATTTGTTGGTGGGGAACCAAAAGTTGTTGAACATATATTCATGAAGATTTTAAATTATAGGAAAACAAAAATCCTTACTAAAAATCACTAGATCTCGAACACCGAGCCCTTTTAACCATGTCTACGTTATTATGTAAAGGTTGTACACTCCCAAATAAAGTTGAATACATACCTCTATGCAAGAACACACATTAAGTGCATCAATGTAACTGTATTTGTCGGTTGTTTTCACAAATTGAGGGCAAAATCTAAC